CGAGAATGAGAGAGAAACCCAGAACTCCCATTAAAGCAACAGTGCCTAATGATGTGACTACTACACTACACATTTCTCTTATTGTTATTCCGGGGAGCAGCAGATCTTGGGGTATTAACCCTGCCTTTAGGATGATCATTCCCCAGGGCTATACCCCATGGACAAGAAGGTGAAGCCTCAGATTAATCTACTGTTCCAGAAAGTTAAAAGCTGGAGGTTATTGATCTTTTTTCCCCCCAATGATTTTTGAGATCAAAATGAAGACTGTGAGAAGAGTTCTCTTTTCTTCAGTACGAACAGAGTACTCCTTCTGGGATATCTGTAGGTAATTCCCCCTTGCTAGCTTCCCCGCAGTGTCCCACGAACTCCCAGTGAGTTGCTAGCTGTCTGCATTTTTAGGCGTCTCTGCTAAAGTGAGATGCGTGGATTGAAGTTTCTTAGGTGACTGTGACTGTACTGGAAGATAGCTCTCTGGATCATTGGTTTGTTGCCTGTGTACTTTTGGTCAGCACCCTCATACGGCACAGTACACCCCTTTTGTGTCTAAGTTCACCTTTCCTTTCCCAAATAATTAGCAAAAATATATTTCTCCCAGGGATGGCACCACATTTCACTGTATATGCACAGACTACTCATTCTCTAGATTTATAACAAACATAACATACGTTGTCACATTCTGAAATGTTATTATGTCCTAAGAAGATTAATCAATGTCCAAATTTTAGAATGCTTCAGTGGGAAAAAAATTTGTAACAATTGCCTTAGTTATAAAACAGTGAAGGTAACTAGACAATCCTTTTGTCAATGGGCCCTCTGTAGTGACCAGCCAAGCTTTTTCCTGCGAGATTCACAACGCTCATTATTTGCCTAGCACTTATTTACCTAAAATTTGATCTGTTCCTTCATTTTGCAATTGCATGCAAACTGTAATGGACTAATGGGGTTTGTAGTGTTTGAGTAATGAATGTTTTTACAGGTTGGGGACTTCGGTTTGGCTCGTGAGTATGGCTCTCCTCTTAAACCCTACACCCCCATTGTGGTGACCCTGTGGTACCGAGCCCCGGAGCTTTTACTTGGAGCGAAGGCAAGTGCTTTTATAATGTTTGCATTTGACAATACAACATGCCTGTTTTGTTATAGTGTGTGCCTGTTTTTTTTTAATAAAGATTTAGTTTTGTTTTTTTTTATGCATATTAAGTCCTTCCTCCTGAACTTATTAAGAATTGCACCTTATTGTTAAGCCTCATCATTTGCATATGGCTGTTATAGAGAGGTTTGGTTATATACCAATTTTATATAAAAGTGATGTTTTGAACTTCTGATGGAAAAGGGACCTGTTCATGTGATCAAAAAGATTCAATACTGTAGATTCTGTCACCGGAATTCCAGTGCTGGTATCTTTCAGCATAGATAGGTTAGTCTTCAGCGTGGAGTATGCAAACAAAAGGGTTACGCTTACATTAGGAAAGTTCGTATTAGAGGTGGGGTTACAGGGATGATTAGAGCATTGCTCTTAATGCAAAGAGCTCTGAAAATTACCGGCGCCTCTCTTGGTGCTGAAAGGTAATATGTGAAGAGAAACAGTCACCCTTGTGGGGCAAACTGAGCATTCTTTGCACGGGTGGTATTTTGCAATCCAGGCTATCAGTGACCACTCAGGACCACACTGATGATCGCAAACCAATAACATGTAGGCTGGAGGCTTCATTGAGCAAATACAAGCCTGCAAATGAACAGTGCCATCCTTGGGTTGCAGTGGCATCTGCAATGCAATATACTTGATACTTGTAATTAGATATAATTACAGTATAAACATTTTTTTTTTTTTTTACATATTTGTCAGCCTAGAATAAAAAAAAATATTGGGGTTTATATAAAAAGTGTGCCAACTAAAATGTCCTTAAAAAATATATAAAACCTATTTGGGTATGCGCAGTTGTCAACATAACCAACGCATGCTGATGCTGTAAGTTTTAGAGCATCTAGGCAGCAATGACGTCTAGTCATGCCAGTGAGTCTGCCTTCTGAATGCCTCTTCTCCTTGATGATTGCTACAGCGCCGTGTTTTTTTAAAGTCTCTGCCTGAATTTTATCATTTCAATACCTTGTCTGCCATTTTCTTCCACAGGAATACTCTACAGCCATAGACCTGTGGTCAGTGGGATGTATTTTTGGGGAGCTGCTAACCCAGAAACCTCTCTTCCCAGGAAAATCTGAGATTGACCAAATCAATAAGATATTCAAGGTAAGGTTTAAACTAAAACATGGTCACTGGGAATAATTTCAGTAAAAGGGAATTATGTTAGTTATGTTTTTCTTATTTAATTTTTCTCATTTGTATACTGTAGGTTCTTTCAGTTGTGTTTTAAATCTGTAAAATAAATGTCTGTGTTTCAGCAATGCTCTAATGCAGCACATAAGGCTGCTTGCATGCACATGTACCGTATTTGCCGGCGTAGAAGAGGACTCGACGTATAAGACGACCCCCTACTTTTTGTGTTAAAATATAGGTTTTGGGCTATACTCGTCGTATAAGACGAGTATAGCCCAAAATGTTTAAATGCACCCACTAACATCCATGGCGGTATTCCCGAGTGTGGCTCGGGGTTAATTTTCAGTACCATAAGCGCTAACCCCAAGCCACACTCGGGAATACAGTCTCTTACCTTGTCCACGATCCCCGCAGCGTCCTCCATCTTCCGGGTTCCGTCCTTCAGCTATATACAGTATACCACGCTGAGCCAATCATGGCAGGCTTTGCATTCATTAACACAGGCTTTGTATTCATTAATATAAAGCCTGCCGTGATTGGCCCAGCGCTGAGCCAATCACGGCAGGATTTGTGATCAGAAATTGTCTCTTTAATAACAAAGAAATAAACATCTGTAAAAAATAAGTCAAGGCAACTGGACTTGCTTTATTTTTTTGAAGACGTTTCACTGGACCAGGTGTTGATTGCATTTGCATAATTCGAGTCTAGTCTAGACCAGGGGTAGCCAAACACTGGTCCTCCAGCTGTGGTGGAACTACAAATACCATGAGGCATTGCAACATTCTCAGTCATGACTCCCAGAGAGAGATGCCTGATGGGATTTGTAGTGTCACCACAGCTGGAGGACCAGTGTTTGGCTACCCCTGGTCTAGACTCCAATTATGCAAATGCAATCAACACCTGGTTGCCACTAACAGATAATGTGTATTGGAGCAACATTCACCGTATTATTCCCAGAGAATTCTTGTACAAGTCATTCTGAATTGAGAAAGCTGGTTGGATGACCAGTGAAACTTCAAGAAAAATACAGCAAGTCCAGTTGCCATGACTTATTTTTTACAGATATAACATGACCTGGATGAATGAGAACCTTCACAGACAAAGAAATAGGACCAATTATAGTGTTTCCTGCTGTTGTGGTAATCTTTATTGTCACAAAATTATCCAAAATAGGCACCCAGGTCCTACACCTCTAGTAGTGTCGGGACTGTCCAGGTTGTCTAAAATGCGCGTTTTCTGAGTTGATGGATTGGAAGCCTATCCATGTCCTAGCCCAATGGCCCATTTTTGTGATGGGCAGCCTGATTAGTCCATAGTTTTAGGTGTGAGGAATACGTGGGGTCCAACTTCTGACCTATCAACCCCAGAAGTAAGCCTTTTTCAGGCATCGGGGATGCTAACATTGGTGTGCTTGCTATGTGTGGATGGGGCTGAATAGTATTTGACATGTTAGATTTGTTTTACAGTGTTAATATATGGGGTTTTGAAATCTAGGTTTGGTTTGTTTTGTGTGTTTTTGTTTTTAAATGTTAAGAACATACTATGTTTATGCAATATACTTATATTTTTGTAAATATGTACAGGATGGCAAAGCACACACCAAGGCAGCGGAACTTATACATTTTCCACTTGGTAGCCTCAAAAGAATGCTATATAATTAAAGAGCTTTTGCTATTGCCATTATTATCCAGTTTTGTTTATAACACTTTATGTGCATTCATTTGGTAGCTGACCTTGCAGTGTAAGCAGGCAAATTGCAATGTTCACTTAAAACTTGTTTCTCTGGCTTTAGGATTTGGGAACACCTAGTGAGAAGATCTGGCCAGGTTACAACGAACTCCCTGCAGTCAAGAAAATGACATTTACAGAATACACCTACAATAACCTGCGGAAGAGATTTGGAGCTCTCCTCTCCGACCAAGGATTTGACCTCATGAACAAGTTTGTCACGGTTTTACCTTCTCTGACTTATAGCTGACCTATACTCAAATGTTTTTTTAAAAGTAAAACTGTCATGAGAATATTAGGATGGCCATTGCTGACCTTCTGGAAATGCTATTTGACTGGTTATTAAACTGACCCACTAACTAAACAAATACTTTGAGTCAGAAAAGGGTCAGTATGATGGCCAGGCAACCAGAATTTTCCACAGGAGAGCTTGGCAATTGCAGCCTCTATGTTTCGTTCCTGACAAGCCCTAACAAAACTATGGTAACAGCCTTTTTTGCACATTGTTTCACTTTTTTTGACATTTTAATATATGACACTAGGCTTTATGTTAATATTCTATGTCATTTTTGATAGTGCTGCACAGTTATTTTTATGTAGTGTTTTTGTTTCAGCATCCATATTGACATTTGCTGTTTTTTGTCGGCTGTTCCGCTACCTCATTGTTTTTTGTTCCTACAGGTTCCTGACTTACTGCCCGGCCAAGAGAATTAATTCAGAAGATGGACTGAAGCATGAATATTTCCGGGAGACCCCCCTCCCAATCGATCCTTCCATGTTCCCAACATGGCCAGCAAAGAGCGAACAGCAGAGGGTGAAACGTGGCACAAGTCCCCGTCCCCCAGAGGGTGGTCTGGGCTACAGCCAGTTGGTGAGTTCAGCTATCATTATGCAAACATGAATGCTTATTTTATAGGGTAGCACAAAGTTTAGTCTAGTCAGTTATGGAAGCCATCAGTGTAAATCTTTTCCTTAAAAGCCTACTAAGGTGAAATCTGCCACTTGATTTGCCTTTTGCCCATAGTGATTGCACTGTGCACTGACAGAAGATTTCCATTCTAAAAGAAAATGTCCACAATCCTACACTTTCCAGAATCCGTTTACTTGGAGATACTGGTGCCTTGCAAAGATCATTTCCCTTTGCAAGTCTCAAGCCTTGCAGCTGCTGCTCAACTCCAGGCTTATTCCAGCTCTCCAGTATCAATGCAGTGCATGCACAAACAGAACAGAGAGGGCTGTAATTGCATCATTTTCCCAGAGAATGGGTTGCAGGTTTTCTAAAACCATAATTGAGCGGCATGTCCTTTATTAGATAAAAATAGAGACCCGGGAGACCTAGTAAAATTCCTCCCTCTCTCAAACTCCTAGGCTACATGTTAGGTCAGAAGCCGTGAAACTTAACCTATTCATTCTAAGTCATGTAATTTGACTGGAACTGGCATGCAAGCCAAAAAATAGTGACTGCTTCCCTTTAAGGCTTCTCACATGGGTATTTTGTTATCTTATATGGAACAAAAGCTATGAATGCAAGTACTTGATGTGGTAAAACTAAGTTTGTATAGAGATGCAGCTTTCTGCTATAATGAAGGTCATCAGTGTTTGGCCAAGGTCCTGGATTGTAATACCAGTAGAGGGTGCTGTGCAGTTAGATGGTTTCTTACTCTGACCTATGCAGGAAATATTTTCACAGAACTTGTATAGAAGAGTATTGCCTTCCCCTGTATATTCATTTCTTTTGAACAAATAACTCTACTTTTGTCAGTCATATTAAAATGCAGCTCTTTCCTGCTGTAATGGAGGAATATGTGTGCACGCTGGAAGCCTGGACCCATGGGTAATCAAATCCAGATGTTTAATCCAGACATTCGTGTTCTCCAGGAAAAAAAAAAGATAATTAGAGTTCGCAAGTAAAACTTTCTTGCAGCTTTATTCCCATGTTACATCAGTGTGCGGCCTTGTCATTACAAGTTAACTAGAAGTTCACAGACGGGTCATAGAGTATAGTTATGGATGAATATCATGTTCATTCTGGGTTATAGGACTATACTTTGTTTAATGCTTCTTGCTCATCATTGAGACAATTAAAAGGTTAGGCAAAGTAACAACATGTGAGATTGTGTACATTCATACATAATTGGTGTACATTCATACATCAATCCACACAAACCTTATGGATTGTGAATAATTTCCATTAAGACCTGCATATGATTGTAGAAATCTATAAAGGATATGAAATCACCAGCACTCACCAGTCTTTGCAAGATATGTTGTAAATACACACTGTCGCATAGGTCAGTACTCCTAAAAGAAGTTTGCATGCTCTCCCTGTGCTTGCGTGGGTTTCCTTCGGGTACTCCAGTATCCCCCCACACACCAAAGACATGCTGTAGGTTAATTGACTTTTGTCTAAATTGGCCTTCCTATATATGCATGGGAGATAGGGACCTTAGATTGTAAGTTCCTTGAGGGTAGGGACTGATGTGAATGTGCACTACAACTGTGGGCTTCCAACCTTGTGGTGAAGGCCCCTTTTGTAAAGCACTGCGTAAATTGTTGGCGCTATATAAATACAGATAATAAATGTCATTCTTTATTTTCTCTTCTAGGGAGATGATGATCTGAAAGACACAGGCTTTCATTTGACCACCACCAACCAAGGAGCATCAGCTGCTGGGCCTGGCTTTAGCCTCAAGTTTTGATTCTGGCAAACTGTTTTTGTTTTTTTTCCTAATGAAAGAGTTCTGGGCAGTTGTTAAACTTTTAGAACTGACGAACAATTTACATACTGCACCTAACTCACCACAATGCAGACTGTTGCTTTCCAAAGCAGGGACATAAGACTTAAGCAAGGACTTGGAGTCTTTGACTTATTTATTTTTCACACTTGTATATTTGTAGAATTAAAATGCATTTTTAATGGTATAATTTGTGTTTTGCTGCTTACATTTGATTTCTTGTTTTGTACAGTATTAGTTGCTGGTGTGATGTTCAAGTGTGCGTGGCCCAGGTCCGGTCACACTTTTGTCTTTCTGCAACCTCTAAGTCCACTTGTTCTACAACTTCCAGTTCTAGTATTTAGCTCATTTAAGGCAGTTGTGGCGCTGATGTGTCTGATGTTACAAAACACCATTAAGCAATTGTAATGTTCCCTGTACCCGTGGCAGTTTCTTAGCCTGCACCACCATCATTTTTTATGTTGGACAAAGCCATGGAAATTTTCTGACAGCTTCATCCACCTTTCAGTCCAAGAATGACCAAAGGGACGAATGCAACTTTCCACCAACAGTTTTATCAACAATGCAAAATGATCAAAAGTATTGGTGGTAGATTGTCATTCAGTTCTTTTTCTTGGAAGAAGATTGAAGATGGTAGAAATAATCTTACAATTGCTATGTGTGTATGGCCAATATTGGTGTCCCTAAATGGTCACATGCAAAATCTACCCACACGTAGTTCTACTTAGTGTATTGCTAGCCAAAAACCCTATGGGCATGGTCTGGTGATAACTGTGGACAGATGCATGTGGTGAAAGCTCCAGCCCGAGAATTTGTTCCAGAGAACCCAGCTGTCTACCTTCAAGCAGTGCTGATGGACTGCAATACTAAGAAGGGGCTTCAACCTCTCAATCCTCAAGGGCATATGAGGATTTTTCACAAAAAACAGTGAGACATGCCTGGAACCATGGGCAGACACGATGGGTCTCAGCCTGGGTCCCTCCCTATTTCCCCCAGTGCAATCTGCAACATCAGACCAGATGAGTGCGGTTGGGGATTCACCTGGCTCGAGTGAAGGGGAGGTCAGGTAGATGGAGATTCCTCTGGCAATTTGCATTACTACCAATGAGTCAGGACATTGAATCTATGTTTGCTAAATATAGGAAAGAGCACAGACAGGACATGGCTGACCTGTTGGAGATTATGCGGCCACCTGGAACTAGTGGAATCCTCACTATTGCCTTTTATCTCTGTGGTTGTGGAGAGCAACAGCAAAAGGATAACATTACAAGTCCTGTGGACCCAGATGGACAATATAGAAGATTTGAACAGACAAAATAATATTAATAAAAGAGGATTACCAGAGGCCACGGGCACAGAGGATTTCAAACCATCAGTTTTAGCTATCGCGAATAAGCTATTGGGCCAATCGGAATCTGAGCCGATCACGATCGATCAGGTCCATAGGACTAATTTCACACGTCTGCACAATGTGTTATATCGGGCACATTTTTATTCCATTAAAGAGAAAATTCTGATTAAGGCACAGGCGAGTGGATCAGTGGACTTCATCGGAGCTTGTATAGAGGTTTTTCCAGATTTATCCATACAGATACTGGCTAAACGAAGAGCACTTAGACTGCTGACAAAGGCTCTACAGGACAAAATATACAATACAGTTGGGGGTATCCATTCTTTTTATCAGCACGGAGGAACGGTAGGACATTTGTAATTCGCTCACCGATGGATCTGGTAACACTTGTAGCAGGTCTGGACATCCCCATGATGAAGCTTGGACAGTAGCCAGATCTTCCTTTTACAGTGAATTTAATCAGTTATGGCCCCAAGATTGCTGGACACAGGTCACCCCTAAATCAGGTCGGGAGCAGTATCTGGAGATCCATGCTTCTTAAAATCCCTTATCAGTATTGAGCTTATGGACGGACGGGGGTATCAAATTGTAAATGTGAATTTCTACCCCATGTATTAGACATGGGACTGTTGGGACCACCATACACTGTTTATGTGCACTTGATTGTGGACTAATGTTGCTATGACTGACTAAACCAAATACTGGGATTTTCCTTCCTTTTTTTTTTTTTTTTTCCTTTTAGTTTGGATGTACATGTGAATACTGTATTAACAAATTTGGACCCTAATGTGTTAATGATGCCGGAGGGTTGAATTAATGATAGATGTAGAATTTTTACTTGGCTTAATTTGGGTTAATAAATTTGGACCCTAATGGGTCAACAATACTGGATGGCTAAATGAATGATAGATGTAGAATGCTGACAACATTTGGTATTTCTTTTCTCTTTCCCCTTTTTTCCCCCACCCTTCCTGTCCCCACTCCTTTCTAATTTTGTCTTTTTCCTACTGGCACAGTGATGTTATACTACATATATACAGTATACTCCAAAGTTATCCGGCACCCACGGGGATCGTTTGGTGCCAGATAACTAGTTTCTGGTTGCTTGAGAGTTAAAATATTAGGGCTGCAGCAACTAATCGATAATAATCGATTATGAGACTAGTTGGCAACTATTCCCATCATCGATTAGTTGGTTGGGGAGAGAGAGGTTTTGTTTTTTTAACCACCAATTGATTAATTGAACACATTATCGGGCACCTTATGGATTATGAAAATAATCGTTAGCTGCAGCCCTGCAGCTAATGGATACATTTTATAATATGGGAAGTTAAAATGGACCGTGGGGTTTAGACATCATTTATGAATGAAAGGGATTGGGACTTATTTTTATATATGTAAATATCGGCCCTGGTTAACTACAGTGGGTGGGACTGTGGTTGGTACTCAAGTACTGTTTTTGAGCATATACATAATGTCGGTACTCACTTTTTTGTGTGTATTGGCTATAAGAAGGGGAAAATGGGGGGTTGGAGTGGAGTAGGAATGTATACATATAAGTGTGTGTGTGTGTGTGTGTGTGTGTGTGCGTGCTGTTTGGGTAAAAGTTAATTCACATTTGGATCTCTGGTTGGACTGCTTTTGGATATACCCTTGGCTTGCATTTGTTGTGGTACTCCTCCAATGGACCTGTGCAGTACCATAGTACTAGCCTCTGTCGAGAGCGGTATTTTTTAATAGAGTATTGTGGTGACCTTGGGAGAGTTGGACCATTATGACTTGGGAGAACTTAGGGGGCTTGAGGCCTGGCTGCTGCAGTAACCAACCATATTGTGAATTTTTATTTAATGATCTCTTTCTTGGTTGCAGAGCTGTTTAGCCCTGGCCCCTTGAGATTACTTTTGTTTTCACTGTTGGATATGGTTGTGAGCTCCATTGATCATTTGTTTATGATCTAATGTCACCAAATCCCTAAGTGACCTTAGACTATGATCGAGTAGAAACCCCCCCCTCCCATGTTTTTAATGCTGTCTGTGTTCCTGCTGGGGTAACTCTCCTTTCAACTCTATCCTGGTGAGCTGTGTCACTGGGACAGAACGTGATGGGAAATCTAAATCTCTACAGTTCTCACTGCAACAGAGGGTGGAGGATAAAATCTTTCAGTGGGGGGCACCTGTCCTGGTGATTGTGTTTGATGGGATTTCCTCTTGCTTACTATTGTGTCTTTGTAAGAGAAAGTGAAGGGAAAGCTCCCCAATGCAAAGCAGACAGCAAAAAAAGAAAACCAGTCCTTACTCTAATACAAAAAAAAGTTTTGGTTAGAGGGGCAAGATTTCACATGAGACACCAGTGTCCAAACTATCAGCTAGAAATCATAAGGAAAAGAATTAAATATGTATATATATATATAGTGTGTATAACAAAGTCACAAATCATACCTTTGGCAATGGAAAAATGTTGTTTTCTGGTATTCGAATTGTCTTTTGTAGGGTGAATGTAACAATCATTTGGCAAATCCTGTTTGAACCAATGTAATTACAAGGTGTAACCTATTATACATGTTTTTGTATAGATTTCTGTGGCTTATATAATCAGTACTGGATGCAACATATTCTAGGAAAATTCAATGAGAAGAGAAAATAACCTTAGAACATTTTATTGTGCCCCATCTGCTGACAGTTTTATTCATTGTGTGAAAAACCCCTAAAACTAATGAGTGAATGATGGTCACTTCACACAGGACGAATGTACATGCTGTTCCGCTAGACAACTAACTGTGCACATTTTCTACAAATGGACCCCTTTTTTTTTATTTTAAAGAAGAACTTGGGGCAAAACCTTATTAACCCTTGCAGTGGGACTACCCCCAGATACAAAGATTAACTGCTCGTTCTTGTCTAGGTGCCAAAAAGGAAATGTATACTCATCTGAACCGTGAAGCCAGCTTGTTCTTAGACTTGTCCCTGGAGCCCCTCTCCCCCCTCTGCTGCAGTGGTCACATAAATCATCACATTTTATACACAGTGTATAGTATAGACGTGAGGATGTTGAGTAACATACCAATGCTGCAGTGTAGGAGGAAACGGGTATCAGGGACCGGAGGAGCAGGCAGCTAGCTCAGCAGTTCGGGTAGCCCCATTGCAAGGGTTCATAAACGTTTTGCCTATAGTTCTTCTATAAATATGCTGTGATCAGCGTTTAGTAAGAGACAGTCATTGTTTCCTTTGCCCTATCTGCTCCAATGAGGGCCGAGAAACCCATCTAAAGCTGGCCATACACCTATAGATTATCTGCAGAGTTTCTATGGTCAGATGGAAAAAGTGCAACAGATTCCTCCATCTACGCTAACCTGTGTGGATGGAGGAATCTCCCACTGGGCCAAGCTTTAGTATCTTGCTAGTCGACCCCGCTGGCTGTCAACATACCTAAACAATCTGATTGGATGCAGGCATTGTTTAGGTATTTTGAGAGCCAGTGGGGCCGACTAACAAGATACTGAAGCTTGGCCCAGTTTGAGATTCTTCATCCACACAGTTTAGCGTAGATGGAGGAATCTGTTGCACTTTTTCCATCTGACCATAGAAAACATGCAGATAATCTATAGGTGTATGGCCAGCTTTATAGGATTTTGCTGCCATGATGTTACTTTGTGTCGGACCTCATCCACATTGACATTTTGAATTGGCTATCCATCACAAATTGACCAAAAACAATCACTATTGGTGACCCCCAGTCAGTCCTACTACATGGTAACAAATATGTTAATCATTATGCATAACTGTAGCGTCATGTTCACTTATTTGTGGTTATTTGCCATCATATTGTATGTTCGATAGAGGCCCATCATCATAGAGGTAGACAGTGCCAAATCACTTCTGTAACCTTACTATCT